GCAATGTATGAATGTGCCTTTTTCCCCACATCCTCACCAACGCTTATTGTTGCTTATATTCTTGATAGCTGCCATTCTAACTGGAGAGAGATGAAATCTTAGAGTAGTTTTGATTTACATTTCTCTAATTACTAACATTGTTGAATACTTTTTCATATATTTGTTGATGGCATGTATATCTTCTGAGAAGTGTCTGTTCAGTTCCTTGGCCCATTTACTGATTGGATTGTTTGGGTTTTTTTTTTTATATATACATTTTTAAATTTTTAATATTTATTTTTCAGTTTTTGATGGACACAACATCTTTGTTTGTATGTGGTGCTGAGGATCGAATCCGGGCCGCATGCATGCCAGGCGAGCGAGCTACCGCTTGAGCCACATCCCCAGCCCGTGTTTGGGGGTCTTTTGGTGATAAGTCATTTTGAGTTTTTTTATATATCCTGGAGATTAGTGCTTTGTCTGAGATGCGTATGGTAAAAATTTGCTCCCATTCTGAAGGCTSTCTTTTCACCTCACTGATTGTTTCTTTTGCTGAGAGGAAGCTTTTTTTAGTTTGAATCCATCCCATTTATTGATTTTTGATTTTATTTCTTGTGCTTTAGAAGTCTTGTTAAGGAAGTGGTTGTCTAATCTGACATGATGGAGATTGGGGCCTAATTTCTCTTCTATTAGGCACAGGGTCTCTGGTCTAATTCCTAGGTCCTTGATCAACTTGTTGAATTTCGTACATGGTGAGAGATACAGGTTTAATTTCATTTTGCTGCGTATGGATTTCCAGTTTTCCCAGCACCATTTGTTAAAGATGTACATTTTTGGTGCCTTTGTCTAGGATGAGATAACTGTAATTTTGTGGGTTAGTCTCAGTGTCCTCTATTCTGTACTATCGCTGTGTGTGTCTATTTTAGTGGCAATCCCATGCTATTCTTGTTACTATTGCTCTGTAGTATAGTTTAAGGGCTGGTATGGTGATGCCTCCTGCTTCACTCTTCTTGCTAAGGGTTGCTTTGGGTATTCTGRGTCTCTTATTTTTCCAGATGAATTTCATGATTGCTTTTTCTGTTTTTATGGGGAATGTCATGAGGATTTTGATTGGAATTGCATTAGATCTGTATAGTGCTTTTGGTAGTATAGTCATTTTTACAATATTAATTCTGCCTGTCCAAGAACAAGGGAGATCTTTCCATCTTCTAAGGTTTTCTTTAATTTCTTTCTTTAGTGTTCTGTAGTTTTCATTGTAGAGGTCTTTCACCTCTTTTGTTGAGTTGATTCTCAACTATTTTATTTTTCTTGAGGCTATTGTAAATGGGGTAGTTGTCCTAGTTTCTTTTTCAAAGATTTGTCACTGATGTACAGAAATGCCTTTGATTTGTGGGTGTTGAATTTTATATCTTGCTACTTTGCTGAATTTATTTATTAATTTTAGAAGTTTTCTGGTGGAATTTTTTTTTGATCCTCAAGGTATAGTATTGTGTCATTGRTAAATAGTGATAGTTTGAGTTCTTCCTTTCCTCTCTGTATCCCTTTAATTTCTTTGATCTATCTAATTGCTCTGGCTAGAGTTTCAAGGACTATGTTGAATAGAAGTGGTGAAAGAGGGCATCCCTGTCTTGTTCCAGTTTTTAGAGGAAATACTTCTAATTTTTCTCCATTTAGAATGATGTTGGCCTAGGGCTTAGCATAGATAGCTTTTATGATGTTGAGATATGTTCCTGTTATCCCTAGTTTTTCTAGTGTTTTGAACATGAAGGGGTATTGTATTTTGTTGAATGCTTTTTCTGCATCTTTTGAGATGGTTATATGATTCTTATCTTTAAGTCTATTGATGT